CGGACAGCTCCTTGTAATGTTCAGTGGACGAGCAATTAAAGCAACGTCTGTCTCACTTTCCAAGAGCAGAGTGAGCAAATGTACAAGCCAGGCCATAGTGGCAACCCCCAGCCGTAAGCCAATCTTTGCACTTTGACTTGCTACAGTTTCCTTTACCTTTCGGGGGATCTGATGTGGGCTCAGCCTTGGCAGCCTTAGTAGTGTTGGAACCCCTGAGTCCAAAGATTCCAACTCAGCTTGAAGCATATCCACAAGATGGCAAATCTTTGCTAAAGTGGGGGCAACATCAGTGTTCTGGGGTTACCGAAACGATGAGAGGTGCTTGGAAAGCACCTTGGATGTCAATCCATCTAACCCGGCCAGGAGTAGGGTCGGGTCTGGAACCACCACTGCGAGCTGCTCAGCCCTACGACGCTACCGAGACGAACGTTAAACCTTGGATACTGCCCCCGCTCAGTAACAGTTGGATGATATTTATAATATAGTTATATATAGCCCTTAATAGGACCTCTAATATAGACTGTTACTGGGTGGGGGCAGTGCCCAAGTTAAACCTGTTTGAGCGTGCTGGCTACATCAGTAGCATGATCTGGGGCCGTGAGAAACCGCAACAAAGCTGACCTCTCTCTCAGGCCACCTGGTTGAAACGTGTTGTGAACCAAGGCTACAACATCGATACTTGTCATGCGCTGCGTACTAACGAGTTCATCTCTCAAAAAGGTGGGAATGGCTTTCAACATCAACTGAAGACCTCGCTGTTCAACTCGCGCAAGTTTTGTTCTTTCAAATCGGGTGGGGTCAGCGGGCCGAAGGGAAAGCCTCTCAGCAGGGGTAGCCTGCAACCACTTTTGGTAGTGTTCACCAGCAGCACTAGTTACTTGCGACCACCATTCCGCACTGTTGGCCTCAAATCCCGCATCGCAGGTCCTGCAAGAGTCAGCCAATCGCCCGCAATAAGTGGAGATGTTTCTTTATCCGGCTCACTAACCACAAGCTTCGGCAAGTCAACTTGAAGCTTTGACTTCCTTAGCCTTCCCCTCAGCATCCCCCCTTCGGGAAGCAATTGGCAAGAGCCCTTTTCATTCCCATCAAAGAACCGTTCCAACACAGAGTTCCCTTGAGGCAGACTGAGCTACCACCGCCCTCACCGAAGGCAGATGCCAATTCCTGACCCCGAAAACATGCCCAGTATCTGAGTATGTGGAGGAGCAGACAGAACTTCACTCCATGAGCAGATTTTCCGGATGGTGTTTGGCCTGGAGTCTGACACAACGGGTACACGATCGTGGGCTTCTGAGGCTTAGCAAAAGTATCAGGTGACCGAAAGGTAGGGGACTCAGCAATGGGGGTCCTGGGAGGCGGCGGATCCGAGAACCCCGCAATCCCCTCGAACCTTTTATAGCCGAAGCCCTTCCCTCTCAGGCAGCCCTCTGCTTGATGGGACTTCCGCTCCTGGATCTAATGGTTTTTGGGTTCTTAGGGATTTCCCTCACAGGCTCAAAAGGAGAGCGAGCACGACTCGTAAAGACACTCTGGGGAGCTTTGTTGTCCAGGTGAGGAAGGTTGGGACGAGGGTCCAAAGGCTCAAGCTTTAATCCCTTAGTCGGTGTGAGCCGCCAGCCGTGTGCAACTCCTCCAATGGTCACCAACCCTGATTGTTGCTGACCAACCCCTGGAGTTTGGCTTGTGGTCGGGGCATGTTCAGCATGCTCAGGGTGCCTAGCTTTAATGGGTGGTACCACATCCAGCAATTGATCCCTGAGAGACTCAAGAATCCTCTTACCGCGAGTTGTGGAGGAATCCCTGATCCTCATGGTATGCGCAAAACTTCCTGCAAGATGTTGGGTCTCTGTCTCACTCAACACCGTGCGATTCGTTCGATCAGCTGCTCTGGCATGCGCTAGGCGAGCTTCGGCTATCAATGTACGATTTGGCTCTTGAACTTGCTCATCCAAACGTACCTGTCTCTTTTCCATGAGCTCCAAGCGGTTGAGCAATTGATGAAACAGCGGTACCATCTGGCTTTGTACCCTATTTCTCACTTGCTCAGTTATGACATGGGACAACATTGCCCTCTGTACTGCATCACTCTCAGCAGCACCAAGCAAAGCAGAGGTGGAATTCTCTTCCCGAGTTTTCTGTCCAGTAGTACCCTCCGCGAACCTTCCAGTTTGACCAGTGTGGTCCTCTCGATCCCCTTCCATGGCCATAGATGGGCCTACAGTTTGCGAAGGGTTGTAGCCCTGGGCCATAAGCTGTCCATGATCCGTGACAAGTTCGTCATCCACCTTCCATTGTGCGCCCTTCTCCATCCGAGACAGCTCACTATGTCCAGGAAATTGTGGAAGAACCCTTGTAACTTGATTTGGCACAACTCGATCAGTCACTGATGCAGCTTTCAGGTCATTGCCAGTGCTCTCATCGGCAGCAATGGAGGAGGTGTCTTGGGGTTCAGCTGTTTGTACTGCATCCTCATAAGCTGGTTCCAGGGGGTCATCGCATCCCTCCCAGAAGCATGGGATCCACAGCAGGAGCTTCAGACCCATTTTCCTCCAAAGCCTTAGTGATCTCACGTGACCAGTTAGCGGAGTCCATGGCAGCTAGAGCCTCCTTGAGCTCATAACCCTCGTGGGGGTTGTGGCCTTGGACTTACTTTTATCCCCAGCGGAAAGACAAGCATTAAAGTCTAAGTTTCATAGGGTTCTCCTGCCTATGGTGAACACTGAAAAAGGTTGTACAACTTGGTACACTTCTCGAAAAATGGAAATTGAAATGTCTCTGTGAGTGGTGCATTCGGCTCACAGCGAAGACTCACGTAATTATTTTAAACGTTGGAGAAATTTGCTCGGACCCTTGCAACACCTGAGCCTCCACGGCTGAAAATGTCGATCGTTCCAGCTTTCGGTGTCCTCACTGCTAGAAGAATTAGGGTAAGAGAATTAGAAGAAGTATTGGATATGAAGCAGGATCATCTACGAATACCTTGCCCCCCGCCCCCCCCCATATATCACCAGAACCGCAGGGACCACGGGGGAGGAGGGGAGAACCAAGAACACCACAGGACCACAAGAACCACAGGGACCGCGCGAGGAGGAAAAAACAACCAACACCACAGGACCACAAGAACCGGGACCACAGGGTGGGGGAAGACCACCAGCACGTGACGACCACCAGGACAACGGGGTCCACTGGGCAGGGGGCTAGCAACCCTGGATCACATATATATATATATGCATATATACACACGCGCATATATATATATATAGATTGAGGTGGCGGCATGAGGCTTGAAACGCGTAGCAGACAGTCAGACAATCAGACAGTCAGCAATCGCCCAACATGTGCAGACAATCAGACAATCAGACCGGCAGACAGTCAACACCCGGGTAGCCGACAGTCATACAAAAACCTTGAAACCCAGATTCATTTTGTAGGTCCCTACTGTCTGATTGTTTGCTTTTCGCGTGTGACTGTCTGACTGTCTGCCCTGTCTGACTGTCTGCCTGGCGGATCTGACTGTCTGCTTTTCATTTCGGAACCCAGACGCACGCTGTCTCTACCGATATATGCATGCATCTTCTTGTCAACGTTCTTGTTAGCATGTTTGGTACTAGAAATACCCTTAGAATTACCATTATGATTAAACATGTGATCCGTGGCCAACAGGACACGCTGGAATCAGTCTGTTCCCCTCATGCGAAAGCATTGCGGCGACCGCTTTTGGCTGATGGCAGCCTGGAGGCATTGACGGCCCAGGGCCACGCAGTGGGTTTGAACAGCATGATAAGATTAACGTAAGTCATTTGAGACGCAGTGTCGGTTCATGACCGTTCATGCCCATTGGAGATTCAGCCGTGCACAAATTGCGGTGTATTTTCACATATGTCGAGTCATGCCATGGAACGAACATGTTTGGAGGTGCTGTCGCCACCGGACACACCGCGTTCACAGGGATCTCAGGCGTCCCAAGAACCGCACGAGTTGGATGAGGCATCCGTTCTTTTTTTCAGGTTGGAGATGTTGTGAACGTGTGGCCGGGCATGCTTTTGTTACCTTCTAGTCAGCATTTTGCAGCATACAGTCAAGGGTGGTGTGGGTAATGGCATCAAGGATTTCCCGTTCAGCTTTTCCGCATCCCTGCGATTGTCCAAACGGAATTCTGCTTTCGTGATGATTCGGAAATAAGCGATCCAGATCGAACTGGAATCCGGCATCGTGGCGCAAACAGATTTGCCAAAGTAATTACTGTTCATGGCTTGGCTGCCATGCAGCATGTGATGCCATACAACCTGCATGCAGCATACATGGTGTGTTGCAATGGTGATTGCATCCAGCATGCAAAGAAGCTGCATGAGCGATTGTTGATGTTGATATGCTGGTTGCATTATGTTTGTGCTGGCGCCGTGCGATGCTGGTTTTCCGGAAATGTGTACATCTTTTGCCAGGTTTGCCCTGCCCAAAGCTAGTAGATTCCAAGAATTCTTTCGATTGAAGTCCATTGGCAAGGCATGACTTGCATGAGCGATGGATGAACGTGCAATCCGTCCAGGGCATGGGGGAAGTGCCGCATCACATCGCCGCAGCAAGCAGATCATACCAGGTGCCTGGGTTGCGCGGCCGCGAGCGCTTGCATCGTGTTGGTTCCATGGCAGGACGGGCTCACCCGACGCGAGACATGGAAACGGCACATGCCGTTTTCGTGCGATGTGCTCGTGGCATGTGCTCCTTGGCATGAGGACCCTCATGTTAAAAGTGTTCCTTTGCTGCAAGCTTTGGTTTCAGGTGAAACCCTGTACCAAAGAGAAGTTTTACAAGCAGCATTGAGCTCAGCTTGCCTGTGGCCTTGCGGTGCCCGAACCTGCTGGCTTTGTCTGTCGAGGCACGTTCTATCTGGCAGTAAAGAATTCTTCAAGATCGAAGAAGCATCTGGAAAACGCAATCCGAAGGATGTGGAAGAAATATTGCGTGGAATCGATCCAGAAAAACCTGAACTGGCAGATATGTGGGAGGCCACATATGCCCCTTTTGGGACGGCCAAGATCAAAATCCATGCAGTGCATCTGGCAGCAAGCCTCGGCAGTGTGGAGGTTCTGCAGTGGCTTCGGACACTTGCCTGCAAGCAGTGGCCTTGTTCTTGTAACTTGGGCCAAGCAATTTTGCCGATCCTTCCCCTTTTTCTCGCCTAAGCGCGCGCCATTTCGCTCCAACCCCAAGACTTGTTTTCGACCGCCCCGCCAGTCTCGTTCATCGAATGCACATCTGATTACCTTTCAATCTTCCCTCTTCCTCCCCCAGCGACTGACTGATATTGGGTCCGATTTGGTTACTTGGCTCGGAAGGCATGGTCAGCGACGTGGCGAGGCCAGGATTCTGAATAACATCAATGTAAAAAAAGAAAAAGTTGAAATGCGTTGAATGCGGCTTAGGCCCCAGGCATGCTACCAACATGTAGAAGTCAAGGGTTACTAAGAGAGACCCCTAGAAAAAGAACCAAATATCAGGACTCATTATATGCCATCTAAAATAGTACCCAGTACATACATTATACAAACCTAGATGTCCCCCACGTTGCCCCAAATAACCTACATGGGTCCCATTGAGGGTCACTCCTAAGGCGCTGCGCTCAAGCCTGCCGAGGCTTGGAAAAGGAGCATAATTCTCATTGTTGATAGAAGGAGTCTACCAACCAGAGGGGCAATATTCTTTGGCACAGGCACAACAACAGCAAAACAAGCGCAAGGTGCAAACATGGCATTAAGCAACACGCGCAAACTGTACAGAGTCTCGACTCGGAAAGGTGCAAGGAACTGGCAGTCGTTCTGCACAGAGCCCCGCATCATGACGTTTCTGGGTTGTTTCGCTAGCTAGATCTTGTGTAGCAGCGAAGCACGTCTTCAACATGATTTGCAGCATGTTGTAAGAGCCTCCGCCTTTTGCTGCAAATTGGCTTTGTTTGCAAGTGCTTGTTGCCTCCGATACTCCCCAACACTTCGCACTACACGTGATAAGTTCAGTAGTTGAATTTGAAGAGGGGCAAAGCATTTTCTGGCAGGCGCACTATTGGTGGCAAGGCACTGAACTAGCAAGAGGATGCGTTGGAAGATGCAGGTCCTGATCCAACAGCTACAAGTCAAAACCGGAAATTCCATTGGGAACGTCGTTTGCGCTCTTGGGGATGTAGGGTCTTCATCATGTGGTTCCCGTGAAGAAGCCAAGGAGTCGGTGCTCACCTGACGTGCTGATCCGGCGGGCCGTTCTTGAAACATCAGTTGAAAGCAAAGTTGCATCTTGCCCGCTTTTCTAATGGCAGGTTATGGCAGGCATGGCGGCTGTGAGAACTTTGTTGGCCTCAGGTATGTCGTGATCATTACACGCCCTTGCTGTGCGCCCTTTGGATGAGCGACTTGCTTGCAAGAATATTTTTGCTCTTGTGCGCACGCCTGTCCCCACAAAGGTCAAGTGGAGACGGTGATGTGGATATTGGAATCCGCACCGGACAGTGCCACAATTCGGAATGCTGATGAAATGGCGGCGCTCCACATTCTGGTGTGGGGCATAGCATCCTTTGAAGTGATGAGTCAGCATGTTGCGAAGCATTTGCGCATCAAGGCGAACATCGGCTTGCCGGACGTACCTGAAGCCAAGAGAAGCTTAGCGTTCGAGTCCTCCGCTGCAACAGGGAAGATCCATTGTAGTTTACTATTGGTTGGTTCGATGGGCCACCTTGCACTGTGCAAGCTGGGGTGAGGCGGATTGCTGAAGCTCTGGTGACTCGAAAAGCGGACCTCGCTGCAAAAGTGGGCAGCTTGAAGAATCGCAAGGAGCGCGTCCAGATGCGCACGGCGACAACTTTCCATTTGCAATAATGTGCGGCAATCGCCTCAAAGTGCACAGGATCCTGCAGCAGAAATCGTGCGAAACAAGACCGCTCTGGAAATTGCAGTGGACAAGCGATGTGCGCCGCTCTCTCAGTTTCCAGTATATCGTAATACAGTATAGTTTATTATAGTGATAACAATAATGGGGTTATATTGGGTAATACTGGGGTGATATTGGGATAGTGAAGAAGAAAATGGAAACTACCATTTAGAGTACGTGGCTTTGGGAGTCATGAGCGATTGGCTTGCTGACTTGGTTTCGCTCCGGCGGAGAAGTGGTAGTTTCCCAAAATAGGGAGACCCCAAATTTAGACCCCCAAATACTATAGTCTTTGTTATAAGGACCTTTAAAGGTACTCCTAATTTTGGGAAACCCCCAAGTGAGCTTAGGTTTCCAAAGCAGATGCTTCATTTGCTGACGATCCTAGTCTTAAGCAGTTCATCGCTGTCCCCGTGGGCTTTTTCTGCAGAGAGTAGTTACACTGGCCCATGCTGCAACATCCGAGGCAGTCATATCACTATCCCAAGCGGAGCAGACTTTTCATAGAAGTGAATCTGATTGCCAAGGCAGTCATGCTTTGAAGGATGGGTTTGGGATGAGCTTGTGGCGATGGTTTGGCTGCCGTCTTGATGCGCGCACTTGCAGACATTGCAGCAATCAGTTGTCCTCAGTGTTGGCGATGTCGTACTCAAAGCTGTGCAGCAGCAGCTGGTCTTGGTGTTGGTGGTGGAGGCGGCGCTGCCGGTTCGTTGCTGTTGCTTTCCACTTCGTTGTTACTGCAACTGCTAGCTGCAACTGCTAGCTGCAACTGCTAGCTGCAATCTGCTAGCTGCTACTTGCAGCTGCTGATGCCGTTGTTGCTCTTGACCCTTGACGGTTGTGGTGACGGCAGCTGCGGCTGTTGTTCCACGCCGAATCCACGCTGTTCCACTGCGAAATTCTTTTTATTTTGTTTTCCATTATCCCAATAGAACCCCAATATGACTCCAATGTACTTATAACCCCAAAGTCACCGTGCGGAAGCCAGTAAACTTGTCGGCTGCGTTGGCCTCAGCCTGGAGCAGAACTTTTGACAGCTAATGGGTAGTTCCCAAAGACATTTCTACCCCATCAATGGAGAACCAAATGGAAAAGAAAATGGACAATGAAATGGAAACTGGGAGTGTATAGGGGTTCCGCAAAGCCAACCTGCCTAGCCTTCTGGAACCCTTGAACTGTAGTCTCTTTATGAACTATTTTCTATTTTCTCGTAGTATAGCCAGAAGGAAGAAATACTAACACATCCTTATTTACAGGTCTAGATAGGTTACAGCGAGAAAGTCCTGACAAGAAGCTTGCCAGGCACATTTTGTTCCTCTTTCTGCAAAGCTCCTCCAAGCCATCCCCCCAAATTCTTGGGAAGTGAGGTGTGAGCGTGAGCATGGAAACTATCGCCTCATTTGTCGTTGAGACCTTTCCGCTTGTGCCGTGCAAGTGCCAAAACTTCTTACGAACGTGGCGACCAAAAAAGGAGATGGCGAGATGAGACCAGTGCAGTTGTTGTCATTTGTCTTGTAGCTTTCCTGGTCAATGCAACGCCAACGTTTAGAGTTTGTCGCAGTTGATGCGATATGTTGTCTGGTATGAAGAGGAGTTGTTGACAACTTAAAATCTTACCGAAAAATCCCAAGTTGTGCTCCGGTTTTCCAAACTCGACGTGTCGGTCTAGCAGCAATACTGTCTAATACTGTTTGCTGTGCATGCCAGGAGAAATCGGCGTGTAGGTTTACCAGTGCGCTCCCCTATATCGGCAGGCCAGTCTTTCAACGCAAGCCTGCAAAATGATAACCGAAAACCTGGCTCATTCAAAGAAGAACCGAACCATAGATGGCGGGTCCACAGGTGGGGGGGATGGGGTTTCCTCTAGGTGGGGGAGAGGAGGCCCCCCCCGAACGAAGCACGAGTCAGGAAAAAGAGGCACGAGTCAGGAAAAAGAAAGACACCAGTCAGGGAAACGAAAAGGCACGAGTCAGGAAAAAGACAAGGCACGAGTCAGGAAAAAGAAAAAGCACGAGTCATGAAAAACAAAGGCACAAGTCAGGAAAAAGAGAAGCACGAATCAGGAAAAACAGAAGGCACGAGTCAGGAAAACGCCTGCGAGTCAGGAAAAAGGACGCGAGTCAGGAAAAACAGAAGGCACGAGTCAGGACAAAGCCCGCGAGTCAGGAAAAAGGCCGCGAGTCAGGAAAAACAAAAGGCACGAGTCAGGAGATGTCAGGAGAGCCTCTCATCTCAGAATTCGCATGACGCTCGACTCGCCAGCGCTGCCACGGGCCGAAAACAGCGAGAGGGTTGTCGAGTCCGAACAGAATTGGAAGGACGCTGCACGCGCCAGCGTTGCCACGCGCCGAAAGCAGCGAGAGGGCGTCCATTCCAAACAGAATTCTCAGGACGCTCCACGCGCCAGCGCTGCCACGCGCCAAAAACAGCGAGAGGGTCGTCGATTCCGAACAGAATTGGAAGGACGTTGCACGCGCCAGCGCTGCCATGCGGCCAAAGCAGCGAGATGGACGTCGATTCCAGACAGAATTGTCAGGACGCTACATGTGCCAGCGCTCCCACACGTCCAAAACAGCGAGAGGGTCGTTGCTTCCAAACAGAAGTCTCAGGACGCTGCGTGCGGGTTCGCCGGCGAGCTTGAAAATTTGCGCGGCGCCGCAGCGAGAGCGCTTCGACACGCACAATCCCCGCAGAGGGTTCGCCGGCCACGTTGCAAAGTCCAACGGCGCCACAGCGACAGCGTTTCGACACGCACGATCCCCGCAGAGGGTTCGCCGGTGAGCTTGAAAATCCGCGTGGCGCCACAGCGAGAGTGGTTCGACACGCACGATCCCGCAGAGAGAGTTCGCCGTCCACGTTGAAAATTCCCACGGCGCCACAGCGAGAGCGCTTCGACGTGCATGATATCCGCAGAGGGTTCTCTGCCGAGCTGGAAAACGCGTGCGGCGCCACAGCGATAGCATTTTGACTCTCACGATCCCCGCAGACGGGTGCATCCCGCGGCTAACACATAAGCTAGAATATCATAGAGGCGGTGTAGGTAGAGGCGGTGTAAGTTTTCTGGTGTGCCTGGCGCGCTGTACGTGATGTGGTGTACGTGGCGCGGTGCAGGTGCTGTAGTGTGCGTGAGCGATCTAGGTCCTGTGGTGTATGTGAGCGCTGTAGGTGCTGTGGCGTAGGCAAAGCAACCGTTTTTTAACGAGGAACCCTTCGCGGTGCTCGCGGGAAAAAAGAGAGCGCGTTAGTCCGGAAGAAGCACTTCCAGTCAGGAGAATGGCAGGTACGGACATCTGTTTAAATCAATCTTTTTCCATCTTGTGAGAGGTAAAAAAGGCCCCTGAGAGAGGGAAACCAGGTGCGGACATACGTTAAGCCACTTCCGCTTCACCTTGCGACGAGTAGACCGACATGACAGAGGGAAAGCCAGGTACAGACATATGTTAAAATCACCCCCCTATTCACCATGCGATACGTGGAAAAACATGACAGCGGAAAGTCTGAAAAGGGACCAAGCCAGGTGCGCACATGTGTCCAAAACTCCCCTTTCATCTTGCAAGCGATAAGAAGAACTTTTCACTTTGCAACAAGTAGGAACACATGGCAGGGGGAATGCATGGTACACACATATGTTATAACCACCCCACTTTCCGCACTTTCCTTCTTTTCATACGTAGGAAGACATGACACAGGGAAAGCCGGGTACAGACATATGTCCCCTATTCAATTTGCGCGATAAGTAGAAGGACGTGACACGAACTTCACCTTGCGATAAGTAGAGAGACATGACAGGGAAAACCAGGTACAAGCATATGTTATAACCGACCCCTCGTTCACCGCGTAATGAGTAAGAAGACATGATGCGGGGAATACCAGGTACGGACATATGTCAAAACCGCCTTCTATTCACTTTGTGATAAATAAAACGACACGACACAGGGAAAGCTACGTACAGACACATGTTGAACACCACCCTTTTTCACTATGCGATGCGTAGAAAAACATGACAGCGGGAAAACCAGGTACATACCTATGTTAAATCAACCCGTTTTTGTTTCGCGATATGTAGAAAGACATGACACAAGGAAAGCCAGGTGCAGACATCATGTTAAAACCACCCCCTCTTCTTCTTGCTATAAGTCGAAAGACATGACAGATTGGAAGCCAGGTGCGCGCATATGTTAAAACCGTTCCTTATCGCTTTGCCATTTGTAGCAAAACATGACACAGGGAAAACCAGGTGCAGACATCATGTTAAAACCGTCCGCTTTTCTCCTTGCGATACATGTTAAAACCGCCCCTTTGTTCACACTGCGATAAGTCGAACAAAGACAAGACAGATTGAAAGCCATGACACAGGGAAAACCAAGTACAAACATGTTAAAACCGTTCCTTTGTTCACCTTGCGCTGAATAGGAAGACGTGACGGATGGAGGAAGAAAACCAGGTACGCACATATGTCAAAATTTCCGATTCATCTTGCGAAGGAAAACGGACAAGACTGTTGATAGAGGCAAATAGGGCACAGACATAGGATGAACCGGCACCTTTGTTCACCTTCCGATAAGTAGGAAGACATGACAGTGGGAAAGCCAGGTACAGACATAGGTTAAAACCACCCGATAAGTAGGAAGACGTGACAGAGGGAAAGCCAGGTACAGACATATGTTAAAACCACCCCCTATTCACCTTGCTATAAGTAGAAGGACATGACACGGGGAAAGCTGGCACATGTTAAGCACCACCCCTTTTTCACCAACAAAGCAGCCTTCATCTTGCAAGCGATGAATAGAACCTTTCACTTTGCAACGTGTAGGAGCACATGGAAGGGGGAATGCATGGTACACACATATGTTAAAACCACCCCACTTTCTGCACTTTCTTTCTTTTCATATGTAGGAAGACATGACATGACACAGGGAAAGCCGGGTACAGACATATGTCCCCTATTCAATTTGCGCGATAAGTAGAAGGACGTGACAGGGAAAGCCAGGCACGGACATATGTTAAAACCGCCCCGAACTTCACCTTGCGATAAGTAGAGAGACATGACAGGGAAAACCAGGTACAAGCATATGTTATAACCGACCCCTCGTTCACCGCGTAATGAGTAAGAAGACATGATGCGGGGAATACCAGGTACGGACATATGTCAAAACCGCCTTCTATTCACTTTGTGATAAATAAAACGACATGACACAGTGAAAGCTACGTACGGACACATAATGAACACCACCCTTTTTCACTGTGCGATACGTAAAAAAACATGACAGCGGGAAAACCAAGCGCAGACTTATGAAAACCAGGTGCAGACATCATGTTAAAACCACCCCATTTTGCCCTAGCTATATGTGGACATGACAGATTGAAATACGGACATATGTTAAAACACCACCCCCTTTTCACGTTGCGATACCTAGAAAGACAAGACAGAGTAAAAACCATGACACAGGGAAAGCCAGGTACAGACAAAGCCGCACCTTGCTCACTTTGCGAGAAGTAGAAAGACATGACACAGGGAAAGCTACGACGGAGGGAAAGCCAGGTACAGGCATATGTTACAACCACCCTCTATTCGCCTTGCAATAAGTAGAAAGACATGACACATTGAAAGCCGGGTACGGACATACTCACTTTGCGATGAGTAGAAAGAGATGAAAGAGAAAGCCAGGTACAGACATATGTTGAAACCGACCCCTTGTTCACATTGCGATAAGTCGAAGAAAGACATGACAGATTGAAAGCCATGACACAGGGAAAGCCAGGTACAAACATATGTTAAAACCGCTCCTTTGTTCACCTTGCGCTGAATAGGAAGACGTGACGGATGGAGGAAGAAAACCAGGTACGCACATATGACACATATGTCAAAATCTTCCATTCATCTTGCGAAAGAAAAAAGACAAGACTGTTGAGAGAGGTAAGTAAGGCACAGACATAGGATGAAACGGCACCTTTGTTCACCTTCCGATGAGTAGGACGACATGACACAGGGAAAGCCAGGTACAGACATATGTTAAAACCACCTGATAAGTAGGAAGACGTGACAGAGGGAAAGCCAGGTACAGACATATGTTAAAACCACCCCCTATTCACCTTGCGATGAGTAGAAGGACATGACACAGGGAAAGCTACCTACAGACACATGTTACACACCATCCCGTTTTCATACTGCGGAAGTCAATGAGGAAAAACAAGGTGACAGGGAAATTGAGGCCTCTTTTTCAACCTGCGATAGTTACAATGAAGTGACAGTGGAAAAACTAGTTGCATGCATGGGTTTTGAAATGCCTGTTGTTGCTTGTTACCTTGCCAGAAGATGAGTGAAGTGACAAAGGGAAAGTGATCTCCTAGGTGGTCTTTTTATAAATAGCAACAGCAGTGGCATCGTCACTGTCTCAAGTAGGAATATTGCTAATGCTAGCGTTGGCAGCATTTCAAAAAGACACGCTTCTCAATTTGTTTGCATTTGCATTTTGGCAGACTGCAGAAAATTTAGGCGAAGATCCGAGCCAGGACGTCAGCTGCCTGACACCCTTTCCTTTTCCCGTATTCTTTGTTACCGACTCACGCCTTCCCTTTTTCCCGTTTCGCGCCTTCCCTTTTTCCCGACTCACGCCTTCCCTTTTTCCTGACTCACGCCTCTTTTTCCCGACTAACGCCTCTTTTTCCTGACTTGGTTGTATATCGTCTTTGTCTTCACGTCCTGTGTCACCAGTCCTGACCACTATTCAGCTTTCGCCCCAGCCCGTAGCTTTCAAGTAGACCTATACCATCGCTAATATACCAACCTTAGAGATGATATATCCTAAGCCCGAAACTAGTATCATCCTTATATATATATATACTCCAATATATTATTGGGTGTGCAGGGGCGTCACAGCTGTACCGTAGAGGCCAATCCAGCAGCTGCGGTTCAGCTCGTAGGCCGGCTGTGCCTTCACTACGAAAACTACCACTATTCTGCTTCTTGTTATTCTATTTTGATTATTCATATTATTCTTACTACCATTATTATTAGTGTTATTAACATTATCACTTTGTTGATCAACATTTACTATTCAGATTGTTATTTGTATTAGTATCACCACCATTATTACCGCTATCAAAATTTTATTAACTCCGAGGACTAGAGTTGCTATTCTCATTGTTACTAGGATTGTGATTATTACTACTAGAGTTATTCCAATCATTATGAATTTTGTAGTTACGATTATCATGTTTATTAGTATGGCTATTACTGTTATTACTAGAGTTATTACTATCATTATTACAGTAGTATTCTTAGAATTATTATAATCATTGCTATTGGTATTATTATCACTAGTATTCATCCTATTTACCTACACCCTAAACCCTATTAGTATTCATCCTGCGTTGCGAGTGGGAAGTTGTGCAGGCAGAATAAAGAAGCGAGCTCCCGGCCAGCTCGAAGAAAACCTTCGTCAAGAAGTTTCTGAGTTGCTGTTAAGGAACTTAGATTACAGTACCATGATATGGGTAAATAGGGTTTAGGTTTAAGGAAAGGGGTTTAGGGTTTAAGTTGCAAAAAGGGTATATGTACGTATATCAAGTAATTAGTATGATTCCCCCATCAAAGCAACCAAATTCCTTAACAGCAACCCAGGTTTTGGAGTATGTCAGAGATGCGAACGACCATGGTCGAGAAGGCCCTGGGCAGAGTGTGGCTACCATTTTTCCATTATCCCTACATTCTGAACCTATATAAGCCCTGTATATATACATATATACGTACACTATAGCGTGCAACATCGGCACTGGGCAGAATCACGACTTCCTTTCACTGAGCTGTTTTGGCATCATTAGCACAGTCTTCGCAGGCCACATGGAGATGTTCATTGAGACGCTCAAGTGCCTCGGACAGCAATCCTTTGGTCTCAAGTGTGATCATGATGGCACCATGCAGGAGATCCCCAATAGCGGGTGCCAAGTTGCTGGAACTTCTCATGGGCGAGCCCAAGGTTGCAGATGCCCGCAGGTGCTCGCGACACCTGTGCAGGGCACATGGTAGCCTTTGTTATTTTACCTGCAAAGTTCCGAAGCAACATGTGGGTGTACAGCAGTTTTTTTGCCTTGGATGTTGTCCGATACGACTGTGAGACGCTAAATGCTCACCGGTTGCCTGCACAACAGAGACGAGAGCGGAAGCTTTGCTGAGTGGCCAACTGCTAATCACCCATACCCAAATGGCTTGGCGTTGCTGATGCACTGACACAACACCTTTATCCGCTTTGCCGGATTCGTGCGGCTACACTGATACACGTCTCCACCACTGGTTTAGGCGCCAGCGCGCCTAGACGTTAATGCACAACTTTCCCGCTGTCACGGATGTCTTCACAGCGCACGGATAGGCACATACACCGATTCTACACCAGCGGGGTAGCCCCGCCACGCGCGTTGCAAATCGGATGTCTACCGGTCGTCCAGATGGGCACTTGACGTAGCTTGCCCCCAGGGTATGCAACAAGCGTAGGAACTTCAGCCAACAGTAGTCCCAGTGTCGAATACTCTTAGAAGGCGTTGCTGGGCTCCTGGCTTACTGCTGAGGATCTGTTTGAATCGCTTCAATCTTTGCTATACACACGAGTGTACTTCTGGGTTGCCACCGAAACTTGGCAGTCCTGTACAATCATTTTAGACTTTGCTCATAGGTAAATTTCCAACACTCGGATGGAGGGCACATGCCTGATTTGCAGTTGTAGAAGTCATGCTTGATGTCATTTGATGTATGGACGGCGCAAGTCATAGCGATTGCAGAAGCGGGCATGCGGGCAAGGCTGGGGTGATGTTCCGGACTCAATGCAATGTACGTTCTTGTGAGGATCGAGCGTAATGCCGTGCATGGGTCAAGGCAGTGTCAAGGCTGAGCAGTTGGGGCTTAGATGTTGAAGATCTCATGTGCTTCAAGTGTTAGATGTTGAATCGAGGAAAGGCTTTTGCCGTTACAAACACAGGGTTCGGCTGCTTACGCATTCCAAGGCTCTCGATCTGGTGGAGTTGCTTGGAGTGTGCTGCCAAAATGCCTATTGCATTTGTAGTGGCCTAAAGAGCACTGGTGCAGCTGAAAAGGGCCTTCGTCCAACATGGCGACAGTTGGTTCTAACCTTCTCATTCTTGCAACGGCCCCCGCGTGCCCCAAGTCCACCCCGAGTTGCCTTGCAGTTTCAACCAACATGCATTTTGAGCATTCGGAGAGGGATTCTGGCCCACAACGGCCACTCAAGCACAGAGAGTCTTTACAGGACTCTCGCCGGGCGATTTCTTGTAAGCTACATGCGCAGAATCCCACCCGTCAAACGGAGCTCAATCGGAGAATTTTTCATCATTCCCACGGTCGGCAGCCCGAGTCCTTTTGGAATTCTCCGCAAGGATGGCTAGTGTAGCATCGGTGGGAAAGCTTCTTTGCAGCTCGCTGCTTTATTGTGTTGGTGAAGGTTTGACGGCATGCAAAATTTTGGTCACCATGCTTTGGTGGCGATATCAGCGGGCACCGTCATACCATGGTTTTGAGAGAGCACTCGGTCACAGAACAAGTGTGCAAGGGGTATTTGGATCGTTTGACTGCAGGTATGGCCTTCCACTTTTTACGGTGCTGCCAAACAGGGAGATGCAGCTGGTCTGACCGTCTGACCCGCGCCCAGCCCAAGCGACAGAGCCGCGTAGCGCAGTGCAGCTCAGGATTTGCACGTATCAGCCCGTGGAAGACGTCAAAAATATTTTGAACGTTGATGAGCCGACCTGGCAGAAGGGTGCAGCATGGCACGAGGAATTCAATCGAGAACTTCCCAACGACCCTCTTCTCCATCAGGACGTCTATGAAGTGAAGGCGCGCGGACGCTTGCCTGAGAGAAAATCATGTCTGTCGCCGTCCTCAAGTGGTCCTCTGGTCTGGGAAAGGTGGCTGTGCTGCATCTTCCGGGCATCCTGAACTTGAAGGTGCTGAGCTACCTCTCCATGGTGTGCTGACTTAGGTTTTGAAGTCCTCAGCTTGCGCAGTCAGAGTTACAAAGCTGCAGGTGACTGCATGCTTAGGTATGGAGCAATTGGGACAACATGACCATCTTCTCCAAGATTCCAATCAGGGCAATTGTTTTAGGCCCATGCAAGATCGCATGATGTCATGTCAGGATGTCAGGAAGGGTAGGACAATCCATCAAGAGTATTACTAAATCGGCAGACTCGCAATCCTGTGGCTGCTTGGCAGGCAAATGGAAGCAGCAAAAAACCGTTTGGGGCTTTGGCCTCTTCTGGCATATGGTCTTGTTGCGGACTTACCGTTGCGGAGTGATGGGTGCGAACTCACGGAGTGCGCTGAGTAGCGTGAATCAAAGGCTGCTTGCCTTGATTATGCTGGCAATGCATCTCGTGGTGCCGACGCACACATCATTGCCATATTCCACTTGGGGCGGCGGTGCGGCTTGGCCAGTTAGCAGGTCTCTGAATGAAATGTAGGCTCTAAAATGCCACTCAGTCGAGGCCCCACTGGCCGGCCACTTGGCAGCACAGGTGCTGTGCAGAGGGTCTGCGCAACAATTCCTGGCACAACAGCTGCCTGCACGGGCTCGGTGACTTGGATTGTCGCTTCTGCCTACCTGTCTGCATCTCGTTCCGCCCTCTTGCTGAGACACTTCCAACGGTCGATCTAAGGGAGCATCATAATGGCCACGCTGGCCTTCGAAGGTGTAAACTTCGTGTATGCTGCCGCTGCATGCAAGAGACTGGCAGACATTCCCTGCGCAACTTATGTGCGACTAGGCGGCAGATGTTTCAGTTATCGAAGGTCAGGACAGATTATCCCGCGTCTGCAAGCAGGTTGCCCTGGCCAAGGCTTCATTTCGACGCGTTCACGTCCATCAACTGGCAGCTTGGCATGGGTGTAGTGAGGGCTTCCAGGGAGATTTTCGCGAAGGCTGTTCACAGCCACTTGCCGCTGCATGTTGCAACGCTGGATGCATTCCGCAGGCTTACTATGGCCTCCTAGTTCAATCACCTTACACTAAGATGCCGCAAAAGTTGCTTGACCAGTGCAGTCATGACATACCAAAGTTTCACATTTTTTCTTTGCTTGTTAGCGCCGTGTGCGGCATCCTGTCTCAACTGGGGCAGTAGTTCATGCAATGGGTTTTGCAGACACCGAAGCGTGTGGTCTTCCCTTGGCAAATGCTTCGGTGGCAACTAGGGTACTTCTACAGCGATTTGCTCATGGTCCTCAAGACAAGACGGCCTGGAGTCGCCAGCAGGACTGGGCCCAAGTGTTGCTTGCCCAGTATATGCGGGCTACCACAGCCCAGCCGAACAGCTCAAGTGCTGCTGCGGTGGAAGGTGTGGCTGCAAACCAAGAAGGGGACTTGGCGATATTTCTAGTTTCTTTGGCAACGAACTGTGGGGTCGTGACGTTGGCCGTGCTCGGGCTGAGTCTATTCCGTGTCTTGCTGCCATTAGTCTACCAGCGTTCCAAGTCGCGTGACCTCAGCTCAGCGGCAGAGGATGCAGGGCTTAAATCGAGACGTAGAAGGGAAATGCCACAGCGCTCTTGCACCGGCTGTGAATGGTTAATGAAGAGCTGGAATGCATCGACAGAGGAAGTTGCTGATGTCGCAGGATTGGATGCCGCGATGCATTGCGAATTTCTAGATCTTGGCATGCGCTTGTGTATGATGGTGGGTTTTCCATGCTTCGTCGTACTTTGCCCACTGCATTTTCTGCTTGGCGGCGATGCTGCGGGTGCTGACCAACTCAGCAAGCTTGGCATGGCCAACGTGATGCATGGATCATGGCTGTGCTGGCTGCATGCCTTTTTTGTTTGGTATGTTGTTGTCATCACGCACGCGCAAGTACATCTTGCACAAAGCCGGTTTATGCCACTCCGCATGCGATGGCTGCAGACATCTCCGGTCCCCAATGCCACGACAGTCCTCGTGCGAGGCATCCCAGAGACTTTGCTCACCGGGGATGCCCTTCGCAGATTCTTTGATGATGGAGTCTTTGGCTACCAGGCTGTGAAGCGCATCGAGTTCATCAAGGATACTGGTGAGCTTTTGTACTGGAAAAATGTTGCAGACACTGGGCAGGGGTCGTGGCGAACGGGCACTGGCCGTGTACTTCAGGGCCAGGAGCTCCAAGCTGTGGCTGCCAGCACGGTTGACACGCGCAGAAAGCAGCTGATCCGCTCCAGTGACAGAAATTCCTCAAATGCTTTCGTCACTTTCCATCAGCAGCGTGAAGCCGTGGTCGCTCAGAAGTTACTGGCTGAGGAGGATAATGATGGCATCCGGGCAGAAGCTGCGCCCGACCCAGGTGAGGTACTTTGGAGTGACCTTCTTCTGGACCCAGGAAGCCAGGCGATCAAGGAACTGATCGGCTACTTCCTCATCTTCCTTGTGTTCTGGGGTTTCATGCCACTTGTTGTGTTCATTCAGTCAATTGCAAACCTGCACACACTGGAGAACATTCAGTTCTTCAAAACCCTTGTGGACAACTTTCCCGCGCTGGCGACCTTGTGGAACGGCTTGATGGCATCTTTTGCACTCTCCGTGGCTATGAGTTTCCTTCCCTCGATGCTAATGGCAATCTTCGCTTACTTCTTTGTTTTCACAGTGCCGTGGCAACCGTGAATTCAGTTTAGATCCCGCTGTACCTCATCATAAATGTCCCCAACATAGTACGGCTACACAATGCGGGGGGAGGGGGGGGGGACTGATGAATACCGGCAACATACTTCAGGGGGATTATTATTACTATTATTGTCACTAGTAGTGTCTATGTTAATGACTATCGTAGTGATTTACTACTACAAGTAATCTTATCAGCATCATTCTTACTCCAATTTTTCTCGCATCTGTTACCATTGTCACCATTCTTTTTCTTCATCTGTGACCCTCAACCCTAAACCCTAAAGCCTAAACCTTGAGCGATGCGCGTGTCCAAACCCTGGAGTTCCTTTTCTTGTGAGGCAGAGGTGGAGCGACAGCATCGCCTGCAGGCCGGTTTCATCTGGGGAAGAGCAGGCGAAAAAGCCGATCTAGAGGAGATTACCTCTATTCTGGGAAAAAAAATAGAATATGTATATATATATATATGCTGCAGGCATAACTTTAATCAAGCAAGTTTTCGGGTCAAGTGAAGCTGCAATGTCCTGGGCATCCGTGCCGGTTCTGCTGTCAGATTTTGGAAAAGCCGAACCTGGACTAACTGGGAGTGAGTCGGGGTTAAGGGAGCATATCATACAGGGATTGTATACTGATTACATTTCCTGTATTCCGCCACCAGTAGGTAGAGACGAACGAGCCGCATGCTTTTCCAACTGCAGGTGTGGTACTTCTACTTTCTATGTGTGTTCGTTCTCCTCGTCACGGCCATTGGCTCGTCGATACTTGCAACCGGCGAATACCTTGCAAAGCATCCCTTCGATGCACCAAGCCTTCTGGCAAAGAATATGCCTCAGAGCACGCACTTCTACCTGAACTTCATTCCAATGCAGATGGCTGCGTATGCCACAGCGGCTATGAGGCTGCCCCAGCTTGCCAAATACGTGGCCTTCCGTATGTTTCTCAGCCCTTTAGATGCGAAGTTCCGAATCGAACCTGAAGACCAGGCGTACTTCGGAATCGGATCTCGGTCTGCTCGCGCAGCGCTACAGCTGGTCACCATCCTGACCTTCTGCACTCTTTCCCCTTTGATCTCACTCCTCGGCTTTGTTATGTTTGCCGTATGTCGCGCAATGCATGGCTTTCTGTTCATGGAGGTAGAGTCGACGAAGTCAGATTTGGGCGGCGTGTTTTGGGTGACGAGCCTCCGACAAATTCTGCAGGGCTTATCTATCTTTGTCCTTCTTATGACAGGTGTCCTTGCCGAGCGCTCTGGCGGCTGCGTGCCAGGTGCAGTGGCAGCAAGCAGTATCGTCTTCGTGTATTGGTCAAACGTCACATTTCGCCGACGATACCGCTGGCAGCATCGGCAGTTCGAAGACATCTTGAGCAAGCCCGAGGCACAAAGAACACGACGCCCTGCTTCCCGGGACACTTACACACAGCCAGAGCTTTGTGAGTGAAAGGGACAGGCAATTAGTCAGATGGATGCTTTCTGAGACTACCATTGAGAAAGCTGCGACCTGCACAAACAAAAAGCTGGATTTCGAACATGTCACAGTCTTTTGCCATCCAGTTTGCTTTGGTGATTTGTTTGCCTGCCGAGGTTGACGCTTCTTTGTTTGTTTCTCTTCGGTGACCGTGTGAACACCGCGCGAGCCAAAGTGCTTCTGGCGGTCAATCTTCTTCTGAGGCCTGGCTTGCAACAGCTCAGCCTCAAAATAGCACATGTTTGATGGACAGATGCCTGGCTATCATTGCGGAGCTGCGTGTGATACAGCCGGTGGGGCCATTGATTATCGCCGTTTTCCAGTCGTTTGCGCCCATGAGTGGAATGTTCGCTTTCATGGGAACCTCAGCGTATTACAGAGAGGCACAGTGCGAGACAAGAGTAAGAAGACAAAGAAGAACAAGAAGAGGCAGAGACCTCTCGCGAAAAGCAGTAGCTCCGCTTCATGAGAATGTGCACTACCATTGATGTCTGCAATTGGTGTAGCGTCATCTGGGGCAGTCGGCAGCCGAGGTATGATGTTTGTCACATTCGCCCTGACTTTTCTAACGTTGAAGGATGAGGATCGAAGTGCTGTCTATGAGATTTGGCTGCAAGTGGGGTGATCGCTCGTCTCCAGCAAGCTGATATTAAGCAAGTTTGCATGGGCAACTTCAACAATTGTCTGGAGGTCCTGCTTAATCTCTACCAAGCCTTATTCCTGACAGACAGTGATGGTGCGGAGAGCATATCCGGCATCGACATTGGTCACCAACAGACCCTGGATTTTGGTGTTGAGATGTACACCGGCGACGGCAGCGAGCTGTTGCTGACGGTTACCACATCTCTAATGCTTTTTGCAACGTCAATCTTCTCATTGGTGCTTCTGAGCCGTGGTAGCAGATGGTACTGCCGTAGCTCTTTTTTGTTGAAGTTCAGCGTCAGTGTCGTTGTCATATCTGTCTCCTGGCAACGTTTTCCCTCCATCATCTGCATCATACTATCCATCCTGGCTGTCAGGAATTTGACCATTGGCATGTACACAAAGTATTATGAGCTGCAGGACTGCTGGGACATGTTCAGGTACCATTCCAGTTCGAGTTGATACGTAGAAGCCTGCAAAGCTTGTTTGGGAATATTATGCATTTTCTTGCCTTTCACACGCATATCGTATAACATGCCCCAAGACCCTGTTATTCTAATAGTCTAGGTTTACCTGATTTCAAGGAGCCCCTGGCTCGGTTGGCGTTTCAGCAATGTCGCGCAAGGCACGTCATGCCAATGTCCATAGCTTTCGTTGAAGCTGATAGGATGGACAGCCTTTCAAGAATGGAAAGACTTCACCTAGCGTGTTGGTTGGATATAATAGGGAGACCATTTTTCCTGACTGCGACTTCCACAGTACAGAAGCTGGCAGAGTCGAGCTTCATTGCAGCCAGCGACAGCCTCATAGGGATGGCGTATTGTCACCAACTCATATCGCCCTTTGCCAATGGTTCTCATCTGGGCAGTCGTCGACAACGTTTGCTCACCTGCCGACCAAAGTGCACTTTAAATTGCCAAGCACGCACTTTAAAACGAAAAGCGACAACATTTTTTGCGGAGTGCGGTAATGTGATAAAAGCGATGACAAAGAAAGAAATAAAGTGATTGGAAAGAGCGCTCTCCATCCCTGTGATGGTCGATTCTGTGAAATGAGTGGTGTGCAGTCTATGGTCAGCGGCGACGAAGGTCTCGAAGGGCATACATGAAAATCATCAAGCTTATGAAGACACAATTGTGACGTCCACCCTGGTATCTGTGGGAGGTCCAGGAAGCTACAGCCACCGCCAGGCAGAGCCACCCCCTGCGGCTGGACGATTGCAACGGATGGGTGAATGGTGGCATCCCTTGAATCCTGCGCCTTTGCGAGTCGTTCTTGAATACGCAGGCCAACTCTAGAGAGAAATTCTTCAGGCAATGTACAGGCTGCACACCAGTGTCCAGTCCGGTTCCTGATCCTTGCCGGGACTTGCCTTTTGTACATCCCGGTCCTTTGTTTCTTATCCCAAAAGCCGAGCTTTCTCTGTATCTCGGACTGCTGAGGCCAAGGTCATAAGGAATTGCACGCACACAGCCCGGTCTCACGCTAAGTGGTTCGTCTATGTACATGAAAGTTCTCATGCTACCGCCTTCCGTACGCTGCAATGTCGTCTTTGCCCATGCCCCTGAAATTTACCCGGCCCCTGAGCAGTCCAAAATCCGAGGAGTGCTCAGAATTGAAGCTCGGAATACCAACAGTTGCTAGAAGAGATTGCAGCCGCTGCAGCACGATCTGATAGGGATGCGGTGTGTGTCCCGTGCGTCCCCCGCCCCTTGGATACCCCAAGATGCTGTACAGATTGAGCAGGTGGACTGTTCAATCTCCATGTAATGAATCTGATGCCATGCTGTACGCATTACTTGCACAGATGATACCGCTGTGCGCAGCATCAGTATCCGCTGCAAAACAGAATGAAGAGGTGTGCAAGCCGAGCTTCAGGTGTCACGCTTTCAAGAATGTTGCATTAATGCTAAGAAGTGCCAAGAGCATGGGCTTTTCAAGCTCTACCGCCCTGCTTCCCTGCCAGGTTTTGTGTGCGCTTCATGTTGAGACCATCGGTGCCGCGAAAGTGGCTGTCGGGAAGGAAGCTTGAAGCATCAAAATGGAAGACCTGCTCGGCCCCCAGACACGTTGACGTCATTGAAGATGTTCCATGAAAGTGACAGATACTCGAGCATTGGAAGAAGCACCTGAAAAGCAGGTTTGGGTGCTTTGCCCTTTGTGGTGATGTTTTTGGTGGCTGGCTCCTAAGTGAGTATCTGGCACCAGCTTCATGCACTTCCGGATCTGCAGCCAGCTCCTCATGTAACCTTGCAGGCCACCTGTCACGTTCGTGATGTGTACCTGGGCGGGCTTTCACTGTCTGCGGCGCTTCTTGTAGTGCAGGCAGCGCTTCTGACACCTGCCTGCACCACTGCGAATTACCTCCTTGTTGAAGCTCTAGCAGCTGTAGCATGAGCTTCGACATGAATTTCCGCCGTTCACTGCCAAAGGCGCAAGCATGTAGAAGATACTTGCAAATGGGTTAATCCAAATCTGAATTTCTGAGGATCAGCGTCAGCGATTTGGATTCGCGGCACAGGTACATGTGGGTAAGTCGCCGCCTTGGAGCCTCCTCTCTATGACCACAAGCTCACGTTGGAAGCAAGCATCAGCTGAGGCTATCGCTCTGATTACTCAGAGAATTTTTACATGAACCAGGACGTTGAGAATCTTGACGGATTTCTGCTGAGTGATAAGTACTGCAAAATTTCTGGCCAAGAAAGCCAGCAGCTGCAGACTTGCAACGCAATAAAGCCAGATAAAGCCAGAAAGCCGCCATAGTGCAGGGGGATTGGAACATTCGAAGTAATTGCTTGAACGCTTATTGAGTAACAAGTTTTTGGCCTCATGGGGCCACATCCTGCCTAGATCAGCGTGCCTGAGAAATATCAAGTCAAGATGCCACAGCTGTTCCAGGAGGCTGTGTTTGGTGCTTCCTGCGCAAGTGTGCAAACCCGTGACGACTGAGGATTACACAGCTGAAGTCCGAGCTGCATGCCGCGGAGCGCAGACAGTCTGAAGAAATTGCCTCGCTGGCTGGAGATGACCCCTTGCATGCAATATTTGCGGAAGCAGGGTGCGATGCATCTCGAGCATGTTGCGTCAGACTATCCAAGGTGAGGAGGCTGGAGCAACAAGTGAAAACTTACAACGACCTCCTTCGTGGCAAGGACACGCTTGGCACGCTTCGTGCCACAGTTTCTGTTGCATACATCAGAGCTGCGGTGTGCCGTTTGCATGCGGCGACTGCTTGTCCTTGCATAGGATTCCTCCAGCTGTTCGCCGCAATGACGGAGCAATCTCCGTGAGCTGGTGGTCTGTTAGTGATAGGCTCTTGAGGGGGTACGCGGTCCAAGGGACAATACGTCGGGAGCCAGGAGATGAAGCCAAGTGGGCTCGGCGCTTAATTCGAGCGGCGAACCAGCATGTGTTGCTCCGCAGACGTCCGCTGCTGTCCTCTTACCTTCTGACTCGCTGAGATTCTTCAGCGATCTGAAAACTTCAGCGTGCCAGCACTTTGAGAGCTGCGTTTGCGACTTCGATTGGTCCACCCTAGAAATCGCCAGCATGTGCTCTCCCGTAGCTATACCTCTGTGCTCCGCACCACGTTAGTCCATGGTATTCACCCGTTCCATCTAGCCAGCTTTGAGCTTTTCTTTTATACAATTTTTTGAAGAAGGTGGTGCAACGATGCGCAGCATGTGGACAAGAAAGCCTAGATGGCCCAGATGTTGACACTTCACAGTGCAAACTGCCTTGATCAGAGCGCTTGATCAATCATGGCCGTGCCTGCGGTGACCTTGGCAAGTGCCAGTTCGGTCAAAGCCAGCGTTGAAAGTCCCCTGCTTGGCAAGCAGTGTGTACTAAGGCCCACAAGAGGGAAGCGCTGATACAGTCACATTTTGCCCCGCTCCGAGACTGAGCGCTGCTGCCATCACCTTTCTCTCAACAACCTCTGCTTAGTATCTGCATGTCCATAATGGTGTGTCAAGATGTGATTCAACCTAATTTTTAGCCCTTGTGGAAGTTTAATCTGGAACACTATGCTGTGCTTCCTCCTCAATGCATTACATGCATATATCTGAGGCGCCTTGGGCAGAGAAGGGTATTGAGCAGGAGGCCGGGCCAGCAAATCAATGTCTTTCTATCTTACAGGGGGTCTCAACAAACCCCACCATGACAGGTGCAAGCCGAGGTCTCATGGGGGGTCAGAGAAGGGGGCTTTAGGGGTAAGGCCACTTCTCGGGCGCCCCATGGCTATGTACACCCTAGTGACTCTAGCGGCAGGCGCCGGAATCGACCGCGTCAGGACAGGCAGCCAAGACAGCGGGACTCGACGGCGGAGGACAAAGAAGAGCGGGAGTCGACGGGATCA